AGTTGATCTTTTCCTTTTAATGCTTATCAAATTATGTTATGATTGCCTATTTCTTTAAAGCTAAGCAATAAACTCCTAGGGATGATGCCTTTTTAGTCTCTGTCTATCATATGTTTGATAGGTAGTGGATCAATCACTATCTGATGAATAATTGATAAAGTAAAACTTTTGTCTTATGCCTGGACTCTTGTTATTATCTACAAAGACACTTGGAATGGAAATTTTTATTGTTGGGTTTCAACTCTTAGACTTTTTTCCCATGAATTCAAATGTCAACTCTAGTAACATGGCCCATGGAGAATATTCAATATATAATGGATGAAAATCTACCATGTCTCTATCTCCAGTTTTCAACTTTCACATAAAGTTTTATTCTGTATCTTTTTCTACCTGGCAATTCTCATTGAATGTTTTTTTTGTCACTTTTGGCTTTTCAAAATTGGTGCAACCTGTCTATTTTTTCCTCTCAAAAAAGTAAAGCAGAGCTCCACATAACAAATGGTAGTTGATAATCTTTCTTTATGATTTTCCTAGTCTCTTCCCACTTTAATTTGATAAAACAATCCAGAAACCTTGAATTCCTCTTTTTTCCTTTCCATTCCTTGTCTTTCTTATCTATTCAGTCATCAAATCTTAATTTCTTCCTACATATCTTTCATTCTTAGTATTTTATTGTCACTAAGACTTTCTAAACTGGTATCTTTGGTTTTAAATTTCTTCTCTTTCTAATATAGAACACACATTGCCTACATAATATCATTATAAAAATAATACTTTAATTATATCCTTCTCTGATCAAAAATTTCTTAGTGCTTGCCCCATGCTTAGGGTCCTGTTCAACAACTTATTATGTGCAATGTGTTCTCCACATCATTCCTCCTAAGTGCAACTTAGGTATTCTTTCTGGAGTATCCTTTAAAATGGCTGTAACCCTTTTCAATTTTGTTAACTTTTGGATATAGATAAGCTACTTTTTTAACTTTCAAAAAGCTTACAGATTTATTTTTGAGTGAATGGTCTTCCATAGAATTTGGATGGTTTTACTTTATGTACAAAAGTGGATAAATTTATTTTTAGAAATTAATCAGGTAAAATTTTCATATCTTCTTTTTCCATGATATAAATCAGTGCTTCCCAACTCTGGGTGTGTTAGGCAGAAAGACAGACATAACGGGGGTGGAGAGAGAGTAAGTCAAGCAAAGCCCACTAAAAGGAACTCAAAGAGCTAAGCAAATAAAACCAGGGAGCCAAAAAGGGACTCAGAGAGTTAGCTAGTTTATCTCCAGGGGAAAGGGTGTTCCCAGCCTGGGATGGATCCCCTATGAAACAGGTGAAACTGATGTAAGTCAAGGAAATGACAGGTTGGGAGAAATCATTTTTTTATTGCTCACAGCTTGCTCAAATTCTCCAGCCAGGCCCTGCCCCATCCATTTTCCCCAACCACTGCTTGCGCTCTGCCACCATGAGGACTCTCTATTTCCCTCCTGCCTCTTCTGGGAGGAACTCTGTTGGTGGCTCCTTGGTGACTGGCAGATGACAGACCAATTATGTATCAGGATTGGAGGGGAGGAGAGAATGGCTGTTACCTCTCCATGCATTGCCCCTGAGGCTCTGGGAGGCTGCAGAAGTAAACACCTATTGATATGTAAATGAACTGAGGGCAGGCAAGAGATTCTGGAAAGTCATTGATTTACTCCACTACCCACCCCTCCAGAATTCTCACCTCACAATCTATGGACCCTTAATCTTCCACAATGGGCCCTGTGTGAGAAAACTGGAGCACTGTAAGCAGACTAATAACACAGTGACAACAGAAATACAAGTAGCAATAAAATCATGACAATCCTCAAGCTTAAGGATCTAGCTGGGTTCAAAGTCCTACTCATGTGAAGACCATATCTCACCTAATCCACAGGAAGCCAGCAGCTGAACCAGGAGGGAGCTCAGTGCACACTCAGAAAGCAGCAGCTGTGGCTAGGAGGTGGGCCCAAGCCACAAGGACTGTAAAAGAAAATAACCTTAAGGGTGATAAGATACATGTTTTAATGACACCAGCATAGGCAAATACTGTCCAGCAGGAGGGATCCATGCAAGAGAGTGGTCCTGTGATAGGACAGTGGCAGGAATGGAATCTCATCCTGTTCTAGTATACCAGACCTTAAGCCCCCTCCCTGTGGAAGTTACAGATGGGTCAGTAGGGAGCTATATATGCAGCTATGGGAGGCACATGCACTGGCCATAAAGAAAATACAAAACTTCTGCTTAAGATGCTCTTATATGCTGGTCATTTTGAATACACTACCATAATCACTGGAGGCCACTCTGCTGTTACTCTGGGCACACACAGGAGGTCAGCTTCCAGGCCTTTTCCCCAAGGTGCCAGAAGGGCCAGCCATTGCTGGTCCATGTGTCAAAATGTCCAAGGTCATGTCCATTCAACAGAGTCTCCAGGGCTTAGTGCATTTTGTGCTGGCAGCTGGATGTTGCTCTGCTGTCCATATACTGGTTTCAATAACTCCTCTTTGGTTTCCATGTGCAGTTATATAGGAGAGGCAGCAGTGTATGTTAGCATTTCCACAGGACTCAATACCCACTTCTGGGGCTTCTCATTCAAATGCAATAGCACTGTCCACAAATGGACTGACCAGCCCCATAGACTATTAATGTCTGAATTCAGGCCAGAGTTCAACAAACCATTGTACCTCTCTATTATGCTTGCACTGGTAGGGTTATATGGTAATAAAACTTCAACTTTATCACTAATTGTTGCACCCATTCTTGTAATGCAAGTCCAGTTGGCATGGTACCACGTTGGTAGCCACAGGGTCAAGCCCGAATAAACAGCCCAGCTGTCAGTCCAGACAACTACAGGGGAGGGCTCCAGGGTGATCACAAGCCATACTGCCTGCAACTCAGCCCTTTGGCTGCTCTTCCCCTCACCATCCTCCATCCGTATTGTCTCAGTCTTAGGATGGAAGGCCATAGCCTTCCACTTTGTGGGCTGCCCATGACTGGAGCCATCTGTGTATGAAGCATCTTCAGGGATAGGGGCTTTTCCCTTCTGATAAGGACTCTTGGCTAACAATTGTTCTAAAGCAAGTTCTCCCTGCTTTCCACTGGTATATGTCACGGGCCCCAGTAAGCATAGTTCTCCACCTAAGGGGACAGTAGACAGGGAGCTATGCTGCTGTATATATGTGCCCCATTTGGCCTGATTAGGCCAAATTGCCCTAAGGGCTGCAGTCATTCAATCCAAAAGCCCATGATTCCCTGGGGTCTGATGGGCATTTTGTAACCTCTGTTGGAGGGAGTGTTGAGTCTTCAGGGAAGCTTGTTTATCCATTTCTGACCCAGACAGAATAATACCCCGTAGTCCTAAATCCAAAATATGCAAAAGCCATGTAGGCAGAGGCTCTGAGGGTTTCTCTCAAAACCGGGTGCTCAAACCCACCAGTTAGGCCTTATTATAGGGGTGGAGCACAACCTGGGCAAGGGCTGCTCCTCTCCTTGAGGAACTGTGGTTGTTGCATCTTTATTTTCTTAATTGCTACCCAGTGTACCTTCAATATGGGAGGGTCTAGTGCCTCAAGCAGTGGCCTTGACAACAGTTCCCCCCTTGGCCCCACACTCTCATCTCCCCCAGCTCTTCTACCATCTTCTGTGCTGAAGGCACCACTCCTTCCTTTACCTCCCCCATGCCTCTTTCCGGTCACATTTTTCTGCTGCTTCCTCCTGCACCTCTTGTATGTATCTCAGCAACATGACCTCGGTTTTCAATAGTTTCCATCCCCTTTAAATAGAATCTACAACTCTTCTTCCTGTTCTTCCAATCAATTCTAAAATGCATCTCTTTCCTTGGCAACCCTTTCCAATGCCATGAAAAACAGCCATTCCACATATTCTGCCACCCCATGGCTACTCAGTCTCTCTAAGGAGTCCCCTTTTTGAAGAGGGCCAACTTCACTGCCTCCAGTGTCCCCACCCCTCCCCAATTCTGGGAAGAGTCCCACTTTTCTTGAAGGCTCTTTATCGCAGACCAAATGCCCACTGGGTAATCCCCAGGTGAATCCCCACCATCTACAGGGGTGTTCCTGGGTAAATCCCCACCACTCACAGTGGGGCCCAAGGGTATTTCCCCACCATCTCTAGGGGCAGCCCACCCAAGCATCACACCCATGAAGACAGATTGCAGGTTCACCGGATTCTCCCAACTACACCAGATATATCTTTGGGGGGATGGATGTTCCCATCCTGGGAAGAATCCCCTATGAAACAGGTGAAACCAAATAAGTCAGAGGAAAGGGTAGGTTGGAAGAAGCCATTTTTTATTGCTCACAACTAGCTAGGCCCTGCCCTGTCCATCTTCTCTGGCTGAGACAGGGACCATGAGAGTGTAGTCAGAGTCGGGTGAGGGCCTCCAGAAAAAGCAAGGCAGGATATTTACAGTCAGAGCAATGCAACTATATGCAAGGAAACCCCGTACCAAAACTCTGTGTTAAACATTAAGCTCTAGAGTCATTCTTCAGTGAGATCAGTTGATATTCCCCCTGATAAAGGAAAGTAGCCCATGTTTCTATTATGCTAGTCATTTGTAATCATGTGTAAGATTCACTTTTGCATGCTAAAAGGGACCTTATGTCTCAATAAGGACAAACATCCTAAGACCACTTCTAACAAGTCCACACCCTAAGCCCTTTATCAGTTCCCCAAAATCTTCAACTGCCTATAAATCCCCTACAAAGCACACCACCCCAGGCTTTCTTGTTCCTTCCTTGCATGAGCCAGGAGCTCTGTCCTCTCACTGTATCTCTCAATAAAAGCCGCTTCCTGGCTCTCCTACTGGATGTTTGCTAAGTTTATTCTTCGACTCTGCAGGCAAGAACCCCGGCATCATGGCTTGCTCTCTGCCACCATGGCATGCTTTCTACTACCCACCTACCCCTTCCAGAAGGAACTCCACCTGTGGGTGACTGGTATATGATAGACTAATTCTGTTTCAGGAACAGAGGGGAGGAGACAATGGCCATTCTCTCTCCATCTCTTGCTCTGGAGGCTGTGAAAGGCTGCAGTGGTAAACACCTATTGACATGTAAATGGACTAAAGGTAAGCAGGAGATTCTGAAAATTCTGCAATTTACCCCACAGTTGGTTAATTAGTTAAAGTGTCAAAGTCCAGGAGTAACTTGGAAAGTCCAGATATTCTCCAAATAAAAAAAAATTCCCCAGATAAAGAAAAGTATCAGAGCACAGCCCATGTCTTCACTGTACCAATAAGATCCAAGGCCAAAGATTATCCATCAAGGAATTCTCTACCATACCTCATGAGGTAGAGCAGGGAAATGGGACAAGGACCATGCCATTGTAAAATCTACTTATCCTGTAAAAAAGTCCAGCTTATTCTTTAACTTAATTTATATTCTGTTCCTCTTCTTCCAGCCCCTTAATCAATTAAGTACCTTTGTAACCAGGACAGGAGATAGACCTCCAAAGTGTAAATTAACCATGTGGATAAAGAATGCTGAGATCCAGACCAACACAGTCATCTAAATAACCCTATCCTTAAGATAAAACTTCAAAAGAATTATAAATCACCTAAGCCACAGGGTCAAGCTCGAATAAACAGCCCAGCTGTCAGTCCAGACAACTACAGGGGAGGGCTCCAGGGTGATCACAAGCCATACTGCCTGCAACTCAGCCCTTTGGCTGCTCTTCCCCTCACCATCCTCCATCCGTATTGTCTCAGTCTTGGGATGGAAGGCCATAGCCTTCCACTTTGTGGGCTGCCCATGACTGGAGCCATCTGTGTATGAAGCATCTTCAGGGATAGGGGCTTTTCCCTTCTGATAAGGACTCTTGGCTAACAATTGTTCTAAAGCAAGTTCTCCCTGCTTTCCACTGGTATATGTCACTGGCCCCAGTAAGCATAGTTCTCCACCTAAGGGGATAGTAGACAGGGAGCTATGCTGCTGTATATATGTGCCCCATTTGGCCTGATTAGGCCAAATTGCCCTAAGGGCTGCAGTCAGCCAATCCAAAAGCCCATGATTCCCTGGGGTCTGATGGGCATTTTGTAACCTCTGTTGGAGGGAGTGTTGAGTCTTCAGGGAAGCTTGTTTATCCATTTCTGACCCAGACAGAATAATACCCCGTAGTCCTAAATCCAAAATATGCAAAAGCCATGTAGGCAGAGGCTCTGAGGGTTTCTCTCAAAACCGGGTGCTCAAACCCACCAGTTAGGCCTTATTATAGGGGTGGAGCACAACCTGGGCAAGGGCTGCTCCTCTCCTTGAGGAACTGTGGTTGTTGCATCTTTATTTTCTTAATTGCTACCCAGTGTACCTTCAATATGGGAGGGTCTAGTGCCTCAAGCAGTGGCCTTGACAACAGTTCCCCCCTTGGCCCCACACTCTCATCTCCCCCAGCTCTTCTACCATCTTCTGTGCTGAAGGCACCACTCCTTCCTTTACCTCCCCCATGCCTCTTTCCGGTCACATTTTTCTGCTGCTTCCTCCTGCACCTCTTGTATGTACCTCAGCAGCATGACCTCGGTTTTCAATAGTTTCCATCCCCTTTAAATAGAATCTACAACTCTTCTTCCTGTTCTTCCAATCAATTCTAAAATGCATCTCTTTCCTTGGCAACCCTTTCCAATGCCATGAAAAACAGCCATTCCACATATTCTGCCACCCCATGGCTACTCAGTCTCTCTAAGGAGTCCCCTTTTTGAAGAGGGCCAACTTCACTGCCTCCAGTGTCCCCACCCCTCCCCAATTCTGGGAAGAGTCCCACTTTTCTTGAAGGCTCTTTATCACAGACCAAATGCCCACTGGGTAATCCCCAGGTGAATCCCCACCATCTACAGGGGTGTTCCTGGGTAAATCCCCACCACTCACAGTGGGGCCCAAGGGTATTTCCCCACCATCTCTAGGGGCAGCCCACCCAAGCATCACACCCATGAAGACAGATTGCAGGTTCACCAGATTCTCCCAACTACACCAGATATATCTTTGGGGGGATGGATGTTCCCATCCTGGGAAGAATCCCCTATGAAACAGGTGAAACCAAATAAGTCAGAGGAAAGGGTAGGTTGGAAGAAGCCATTTTTTATTGCTCACAACTAGCTAGGCCCTGCCCTGTCCATCTTCTCTGGCTGAGACAGGGACCATGAGAGTGTAGTCAGAGTCGGGTGAGGGCCTCCAGAAAAAGCAAGGCAGGATATTTACAGTCAGAGCAATGCAACTATATGCAAGGAAACCCCGTACCAAAACTCTGTGTTAAACATTAAGCTCTAGAGTCATTCTTCAGTGAGATCAGTTGATATTCCCCCTGATAAAGGAAAGTAGCCCATGTTTCTATTATGCTAGTCATTTGTAATCATGTGTAAGATTCACTTTTGCATGCTAAAAGGGACCTTATGTCTCAATAAGGACAAACATCCTAAGACCACTTCTAACAAGTCCACACCCTAAGCCCTTTATCAGTTCCCCAAAATCTTCAACT